ACCTTTTCAACGCCTTAATTATTGCCAAAACTTCAAGGTCGTAGCTACAATAATTTTTTTCAGCAGCTTTCGTTTTATAGCTTAAATAAAATACCGGATGATAATTTAAATTGTGTCTTTGCATCAATATAGCGCCATATCCCTCCTTGCTTGCATCAGTATGTAACTGAGTTTGTAGTTTGGGGTTAAAAAGTTTTAAAACTGAGTTGTCACAGAGTTGACTCTTCAGAGCAACGAATGCATTTTCTTCAGCAGAGTCCCATTTGAACGTAGCATTTTTCCTGGTTAGGTCCGTTAACGGCTTTGCTAGAATTGCATAATCTTTCATGAACTTACGGAAAAATCCGGTTAATCCTAAAAAGCTCATAACCCCACGTAAGTCCTTTGGTTTTGGAAAATTCTTGACTGTTTTTGTTTTCTCTTCGGAGGGACGGACAGAACCATTTTCAATATTGTGTCCCAAAAACTCAATACTTTTACTTAAAAACGTACACTTATTCCACTTGATTAAAAGTCCATTTTTTTCACAAATGTTAAAAACTATTTTCAGTTTGTTCATAGCATCTTCGTCATTGCGTGCTGGAATAACTAAGTCGTCCATGTATACTAGTACTACACCTTCTCTTATGGCGTTCTGGAAAATTGTGTTTATAAATCTCTGAAATGCAGAGGGAGAATTACATAAACCAAATGGTGCCTTTTTAAACTCAAATTGGCCATCGGGTGTCACGAATGATGTGTATTTCCTATTTTTTTCCTCAATGTCCACATGAAAAAATCCATTTCTCAAATCTAGTGTTGTGAAAACCTTTGCATCATAAAGTCCTTCTAAAACCTCTTCTATATTAGGTAGTGGATATCTATCGCGTATTACAACTGAATTCAATTTTCTGTAGGTACCATCTCTTTTATGTGCCAATACTACTGGACTTGCAAAATCTGACGAACTCGATTGGATTATACATTCCTCTAACCATTCTTTTATTTGCGCATCTACGTTTTGCTTCTCCATCGGTGCTAGTCTTCTTGGTTTTTGATAAATTGGTTTTTCGTTCTCGAGATTAATTCTCATTGTCACACATGATGTTTCAATTTGTTCCGGATTGTACGTAGAAATTAATGTGTTTATTTCTTCTTTTAATGTTGAATTCGAAATGTGGCGTGTACTGTCTAATGTACTGGTCGCTTCCGCATATTTTACTAAATTCACCCTTGCCAACATCAGCTTTTCGTTCTGTTCATCAAATTTGTAAGGAAAACTTACCGTTTTCGATTAGTGTTTGAGATTTGGCACAGCAACTAGGCGATATGGCAGCACACATTTAGTAGTTTTTGACGATGGCATCCTAACATCTGGCAGCGATAATTTTGGCTTCGCTTTTTTGCTTTTTCCTTCTCCTGCTTCTTAATTGGCTACTGGCGGTGTGTGCACGTTTTTTTGGCTTGACAAGATATTAATAATTTATCAGTTCAAAATTTGAATAAGAATGTAATAAAATTTAATTGACTATATCCTTAACGAAAAAATACATAAACTTTTGCGTGTATGGAAATTCGTGTCTGTTTTTCATACATTTGTTGGTGCCGAAACCCGGGAGTTTCGGTTTTTATTTTAAATTAAATTGCGTTTTTGGCTTTTTTGGCGTTTTTATACGAAGAAAATATGGCTGCCCTAAATAGGCGTACGGCTGCGTGGTCATCATTAAAGCGGGTAGCTGCAAAAATAGTGGCGGATGACTACGTTGAGGATGGCTTTGGTATGCAGCAAGATCGTGCAACATTGCAGGCACATTTCGAAAAACTACAAACTGCACATGGTGAGTTGGTGGCGTTGGCAAGAGATGATACTGAATTATGGTCTCACATCAAGTTGTGGGACGAGGTGGAAGACTTATATAACGAGGCGTGCGTTGCATTGCGGCGTGAGTTGGCCCGTTGTGATGCACAAAATACGGATGCACCTTCCAATATGGCAGGCGGTGCTGTATCTTCCCAAGGCTTGGCAATTAAATTGGAACGATTGGCGGTACCCAAGTTTGATGGCACGATGCGCAATTGGCTGGCATTTAAGGACACATTCGAGACATTGGTACATTCGCAAGAGTTTCCAGAGGCATACAAGCTTGGCAAACTGCGAGAGGCAGTCCATGGTGATGCAGTGGCACTTGTCGGAGGCATGTACAGTGGCGGGTACGATGAGGTATGGGCTGCACTGAAGGCTCGGTACGACAATCCGAAACAGTTGGCTGAAATACACGTGGCTAGGCTAATTGGCTTCAACCCACCACAGGCTGAGTCAACATCTGAGTTGCTCTCGGTGGTTGATACAGTGCGAGAGTCCTTGCGAGCACTTGCAGTAATGAACCTACCTGTGGATCAATGGGATGCATTGGCGGTACCCATTATAGTGGCCAAGTTACCAACAATTACGCAACAGGCATGGGGCATGAGCCGCACAACTAATCAAATTCCTCCTTTGGCAGATTTGCTTGCATTTTTGGAGACACGAGCTCACAGTCTAGTTGGCACTGTTTGGCGAGCAATGGAGAGCAAACCAAAATCTGATGGCAAGACCGCTACACTACAATATCGTGGCACATCTCAGGCTGATTATAAAAGGCCAGGCTCACGTTTAATGAGGACAAACCTAATAGCAACTACTTCAGGCCACTGCCAGTTTTGCAATGACGCATCGCACCAAATAGGCAAGTGCACCAGGCTATTGGCTTGCTCACCAGCGGAGCGCTTCACACTGCTTAAAGGCTCGAATCTTTGCTTCAATTGCTTGAAACCTGGACATTCTACTAAGGCATGTGGCTCAACTAATTGTCGCATATGCAATGGCAGGCATCACACTCTACTATGCCGAAGTTCACCAGCGCAGACTCCTCCTTTGCAAGAGTCCAAACAGCAGGCACAAACTACACCTCAGGCACCAGCGAAACCGAACCAGGCTGGCATCCCACCACGTGTGCATCAGTGACTACACCATCCAATGCAGACATTCGCTACTATAGGCAATCGGGTTATACTCTTGGCAACAGCACAAATACGCATCTTAAATGGCTTTGGCGATATCGACTCGTGTCGAGCTCTATGCGATCCAGGCTCTCAGGTAAGTCTAATGAGTACGCGATATTTTAATCAACTGGCTCTGCGGAAGCAGAAAAGTGCATTGCAATTACAAGGCGTTGGCAGTGGCAATCGTTCATATACTAATGGCCGGGCAGTCTTGCGCATATTTTCGACTGTCAATGCTTCATTTGGCTTGGATGTTGAATTCTACATCATCAACAAAATTACCTCAGCAATCCCTGTGGCTCCAATCATGGAAAACTGTTGGCAGCATTTACGCAATTTGCCCTTGGCAGACCCGAAATTTGGCGAAACTGGTGTTATAGATGCATTGCTTGGCTCAGACGTATGGGGCCAATTGTTGGCAGATGGCATAGTTCGTGGCGAACTTGATGATCCTGTGGCACAAAATACGCAATTAGGCTGGGTTGTATTCGGACCAGCTGAAGCAACCGTGCATAACTACAAGGCGGAACAATCTATGGCATTGCGTGTGGAGGCGCCTGATGAGCGAGTTGATGACCTTCTACACAGGCTATTTGAATCCAAAGAAATTGACATGGCTAAAGGCGATACACTAGCAGCAGTTGATCTTTGCGAGTGCATTTTCATGAGCACACATAAGCGTTTTGATGATGGCAGTTATTGCGTGCAAATACCATTTACACCAGATGCTCCACCACTTGGCAATTCACATCAGATGGCACTCAGGCAATTTCACCAGTTGGAACGAAAATTGGCATCCAACTCAGAGCTCAGGCAAAGATATGTGGCTTTTATGCGCGAATACGAACAACTTGGTCACATGCACCCTATTCAGCATCACTCAGGCGACACATCTCAGGCATACTACATTCCACATCATGCAGTCATGGCAAAATTCCGAGTCGTATTCAATGCTTCCGCAAAAACATCGAATGGCATATCATTAAATGATACACAACTCGCTGGCCCCCCAATACAGGATTTATTACTTAACCTTTTGCTTCGCTTCAGGCAGCATCGAATAGCATTCACAGCTGATGTGGAGAAAATGTTCAGGCAAGTCAAGGTTGACGAGAGGTACAGGCAGTGGCAACAGATCCTCTGGCGGGAATCATCCGATCAGCCCATTCGCACATATCAATTGGCTACCGTTACATATGGCACAACTAGTGGCACATATTTGGCTGTTCGCGCTATGCAGCAATGTGGCAGAGACAACTCTTATAAACTCTCAGATGAAGTACGAGCTAAAACTGCTTTGCATCCTGAATGATTTCTACGTAGATGACTACCTTAAGAGTACACCTTCTATTGGCATGGCGATTCAACTGGCGGCCGATGTCTCATCTGTTTTGGCAGACGGTCAGTTCCATCTCAGGAAATGGAAATCGAATAGCGCTGAAGTCTTGGCACATCTTCTTGGCGATGCTGATCCATGTCAGCTTAATCCGCACTTGGCAGAAACTACTGTTCTTGGCTTACACTGGGATCCACTCACTGATGAACTCTTCTATCAGGTCAGCTCTTATGATGCACAACATCTTACGAAAAGGCAAGTGCTTAGCGATGCCGCAAAATTTTATGATCCAATTGGCATGTTGGCACCAGTCATCATTACGGCTAAACTTTTCATACAGAAACTCTGGCAGGCAAAATTGGCATGGGACGACCCATTACCACTTGAACTGTTGCAAGAATGGCTCATATACCGAAGGCAGCTGTCCCAACTGGAGGCAGTGCGAATACCGCGTTGGATAGGCATGCAACCCGGATATCAAATACAACTTCACGGCTTCTGCGATGCTAGTGTCAAGGCAATGGCTGCAGCACTCTATTTGGCAACAAACCACAATGGCAGTATCACTAGTCACATTATCGCATCAAAAACTAAAGTGGCACCATTACATTCGGTAACAGTACCCCGATTGGAACTTTGTGCTGCGCAATTGTTGGCTACTCTTTTACACGAAACAAGGCAGGCTTTGCATTTGGAGCACGTACCATACACTCTATACTCCGACTCAAATATTGCTCTATGTTGGCTACGCAAAAACCCATCACAATTAAAGCAGTACGTTGCTAATCGCGTTGGCTGTATTCAATCGATGACAGATATCAGGCATTGGCATCACATTCCTACCAAACATAACCCAGCTGATTGCGCCAGTCGTGGCATATTCCCTTTGGCGTTGCAAAACTACGCATTATGGTGGCACGGTCCTAATTCAACTGATTATTCAATCAATGAGCTGCACCACTGTGCACCAGCAGAGCTGGCAATAATGGAAGGCGAGTTAAAACCAGTTAAGGTAAAGGCATTGCAGGTAATAGGTCAACCCGCATTACAGACACACTACACTGCTGGCGACGAATTGGTCGTCATAGATCTGTTGGACCGGTTCAGTCATCTTGGCAAGCTATTGCGCACTACTGCATACATATTGCGTTGCAAAAAGGCACATCATCGTTTTCGTTCGCATACACATATCTGTACAGGCGAAATGGACATTGCTTTAAATCACCACATCAAGGCAGAACAAGCGAAATATTTCGCAGCGGAAATCAAGCAGCTGAAAAAGGCACAGCCCATATCCACATCCAGCAAGATCATTGCACTGAGTCCATTCATCATGCTAACGTACTGGCGTCAATCAAGCCATCACGTCGCCTTAAGCGTCTAAAACCTTGTGACCTTTGGTTGCAACCTGTCCGAAATGCGTGATTGTTTAGAATCGTTAAAAAATAATGATACTCCTTCAAAAATACTGAAATTTCCACCTATATTTATTGTAAGGTACATTACATCATGCCCATAATAGATGTATTAAACGAACTTAAGCCTAATCAATTTAACTTAAAAGTACTAACTCCAAGTCTAGTAAGAGTTCAACCTTCTTCATCTGACTCCTACGTAAGCATTGTAAAACAGTTAGAGCTCAAAAATACAGAATTCTACACTTACAAACCAAAAGCTGAACGAAGCTTTAGAGTCATATTAAAAAATTTGCATCACTCAACCGCAATTGATGAAATCAAAAATGTACTTCTGGAGCTTGAACATAAGGCTGTAAATGTTTGGAACATTAAACGTAGAAAATCAGGAGAACCTCTTCTCATGCTTATTATCGAACTTGCTCCAAACCTAAACAATAAGGATATTTACTTAATTAAACTCTTGTACACTACAGTTATATTCGAACCATCTGACTCAAACCATGAAATCCCTCAATGTGCAAACTGCCAGCACATAAGGATACTGTCACCGCAAACCCAAGTGTATCAAGTGCGCTGGAAACCATGTTTCTGTAAATTGCGAAAGGAAAAGCAGATCCAATGATGTCAAATGTGTGAGGGAAATCACCGTGCCAACTGCAAAGGATGTCAAATCTACAAAAACATACAAAAAAAATGAATCCCCAATTACGGCTTAAAGCAGCGGAACTCCAAATTAAAGAATACCCTTTTTCTGAACTACGAACTTTATCACATAATGCATCACAATGGTAAAGCAAATGGTGGCCCTGCGATCCTCATAAGGAAATCGATGAAACATTATGAAGTAAAACCATATTGCATGAAAGAAATTCAGGCAATAAACATTGTATTACAAACTAGAGAAGGCGACATGACTTTCTAATCACTCTATAGCCCACCGCGTCACAGTATTTCGAAGAATATGTACATATCATTTTTTCAGTTGATTGGATCTAGGTTTCTAGTAGGGGTTCTCGCCTAATATCTTCAAAAGGAAGACAACTTTTCGAAGCAATTAATGTACTCAATCTCCACACAATTTCAAAAGGTAAACCCACATACTGTCCAACGGATAGAAGAAAAATACCTGACTTAATTGATTTTGCAGTAGCAAAGGGGGTATGTATCGAGACAACTACCTGTAAGTCCAATTTCGACTTGTCATATGACCACTCGCCAATAATAATCACTCTCAATGACTCTTGTGAAATTATGGAAAAATATATTCTTCATAACAAAAATACTGATTGGAACAGTTATCATGAACTAATTACAATTGGTTTAAATACCGAAGTCCAGTTAAAAATTGAATTTGATGTGACTGAAGCAGTAGCGCATTTCAACTCATGTGTCTAAATGTCTGCCTGGGAATCAACTCCTCCATTTTCAGAAAGTGTTAAGCAAAAATATCCATTTAACATAAGATACCTAATGAAAGAAAAGCGTAGGATGCGAAAACATTAGGAAAAAGCGAGATTCCCTGCGGACAAAACTAGCTAAAACAAACTATGTGAACTCGTTAAAGTCATTCTTATAAAGTACAACAATAATCGCACGTCCCTTTACCTCCAAAACCTAAGTGCTTCATGTGATACAAAATACTCCCTCTGGAAAGGCATAAAAAAGAACAACAGACTGATTGTTTATCAACCACCTATACGCAAAATAAACAACTCATGGGCTAAAAGCGATATTGAAAAAGCAGAAAGATTCGCGTCACATTTGGATCAGGTCTTCAAACCAAATGATAATCAAAATGTGCCAGGTATCATGAAACAAAAATATTTCAGGTATCATGTTAAAAAAAATATAATTTCATATAATTCCATTGGTCAGCTTTTATGTCCGACATTATTAGCGTACTTGTAAGTTGTTTTTTTTTTAAATATATATATATATCAACTAAACAGAAATCACGCAAAGAACTTAATTTAATATGAATCCGATCCACCCTCATTTCATGATGGAGGAAAAGTCTCGAAATTTTTATAAAGAGAAAACCGAAAGTGGTACTATAGCTTAACACATTGAAAAAATAAACGATATGAAGCAGCTATGTTTTTAAGTCAGAAATGAGATAGAAATACTTAAAAAAAAAATTGAGTACCTTAAAGATTCTCCATTACCTGTTACACAAAAATCTAAAAATGTGCACAATCCAATTGTATATGAAACTGATGAAGATGAACTTGGGAAAGAAACGGAGTGGATCTCCAAGGAAAGACCCGCCAAGAAGAGAAAACCTGAACGCTCTCCTGACTCCATATCTCCTTCCATGTATAAAAATATGACATCAGTCTTTGCAAATAAGAATGTCTGAGCAGACCAAAAACCATTACGTCCACCTCCAATTATGGTCTCAGAAGGAATGAACTACTCAGATCTTCTTCTCATTATTAAAAACAACTGTAAAGAAGAATTTTCTATCAATCTTTTAAATACTACTTTGTACAAAATTAGTACATCTGAGGTTAACGACTACAGATCAATATTAAAAGCAGTATCTACGCAAAAAATTGCTTGGTATTCTTATGAAAATAAGCAACTGCGGTCGATAAAAGTAATAGTTAAACACCTTTCTGAATCATGTGACCTGTCTGACATTGTAACTGATCTGCAACAGAAAGGATTGAACATTCTAAATACGGTAAATAAGTGGAAGCCCTTCTCAAAAGACCCATTTTATAGTAGCTTTCTACAAGAAAGCTACTATAAAATATATAAAACTAAGTTGGAACAAAAAAAGCTAACTTTATTAATAATGTCAAGTTTACTAAAACTAATTATTTGGAACTCAAATGGTCTACTCAAACATTTTGGAGCACTTGAACTTGTTTTAGCAGCCATAGCAATAGATGTCTGCCTTATTGCTGAAACGCATCACACATCATTCACACCTCTAACTTAAAAGCTACGAGTTTCATCACGTAGTACATCTCAGTAAATGTGCTCGAGGAGCAAGTGGAATCTTAGTTCGGAAATCTTTTCAGTAATACGTGTCCAATATAATCTTCACAGAAGAAGCGATAACCACTCCCCTGTATACCTTACTTCATATGGTTCTCCTATAGTTAACAACGTGGCGACCAAAATTGTCAATAAGTCAACTGACTGGATTTACTTTAGAACATTCCTTTCTAATAATATTTCGGCTTCGACTTCGAAATATACGGTGAAGACGATGTGGAGTTTGAAATTATAGACGTTACAAGAAAGCTTCAACTAGCGGCGTGGTTAAGCACTCCTATATGGAAGAAATCAAACTATCCGCATAGATATCCAATAGCCATATTCGAACTACTACAAAAAAAACGTAAAATAAGGAAAAAGTGGCAACACAAGAGATGCCCAGCAGATAAACCAAATTTAAATAGGCTGACTAAAGAACTTACCTCTGAGATCAACCGCTTTAAAAATAATCAATTCAACTCATAATTGTCTGATTTGACAAATGATCGCATCACACATTATTCCTTGTGGAAATACACTCGAAATATAAAACGTCCAGCGTTACATAACACACCAATAAAGACCTTCACTAGCCAGTGGGCCAATAGTGATAAAGAAAAAGTTGAAGTTTTCTTTGAGCATTTGACAAAAGTATTCTCTGTTTTTGGTAGTGAGAATAGTGTTGAAACTTGTAATCTGGAAATTAATAGCAGAATCAATTTCCCGCCAACTAACGACCTTGAAGTAATGATGATAATAAGGAACAAACTTAAGCTTAATAAAACCTCAGGATATGATCTCATAACTGCAGAACTTCAAGAGAAGCCCCAGCTAAGTGCATAGTAAAAGTTACTAACATCATCAATTTTGTTCTACGATTGAAATATTTCCCTTCATTGTGAAAGGTCTCAGAAATTATTATAGTCCTTAAACCGGGGAAAGATGCAAACGATGTTAGCTCCTATAGGCCAAGAGTTCTCGAACCTGTGCTTTTAAAAATATTTGAAAAGATTATGCTCAAACAGATGTTTTACTTGAACAACAGCATACCTTTCCTATGCATCAATTTGGATTAAGGTGTAATCAGTCGACCATTGATCAAGTCCACAGAATCACCAATGTAATCAAAACCGCTCTGAGGAAAAGAAAATCTGTTCAGCTGTACTCTTAGACGTTTCCCAGGCTTTCGACAAAGTTTGGCATACAGGTCTACTAACGAAAATAAGAAACATTTTTCCGTTGGAGTATTTGGAATATATGGTTTCTTCTTACTTGTCCAATCGTTACTTCAGTGTTAAGCATGGAAACGATTACAGTGAACTCCAAAAAATCAACGCTGGGGTACCTCAAGGCAGTGTACTTGGTCCTCTGTTATATTTAATATACACACAGGATTTGCCAACGAGTTCAGCAACGTTTTCAGTGACGTTCGCGGACAATACAGCTGTCCTTGCGATTGGAGATGATGAACTAACAACAGCCAGGCATCTGCAGTCTTCTGTCAATGACATTACTGCTTGAGCTGATAAGTGTGAAATAAAACTTAACCACTATAAATCTGTTCATGGAATACAAATTCCACATTCTAATACGGTTAAATACCTCGGTATGACATTGGCTGCAAAGCTGAGATGGAATGAACATGTAAAAAAAAAGAGAAGTGAACTTAATATAAAATACAAATCAATAAAATGGCATATTGGAAAGAAGTCGAAACTGTCACTTTATAACAAGCTTATAATTTACAAACAAGTATTGAAACCAATTTGGACATATGGTATCCAGCTCTGGGGATGCGCTAGCAGCACGCATGTTGAAACCATACAAAAATTATAAAATGTTGTATTAAGGAGTGTGGCAAATGCACGATGGTACGTAAGGAACTCTGATCTGCATCACGATCTAGGGATAAATACAGTGATGGAAGGAATACAGCGAAACGCAGGAGTGCACGTGCAGCGATTGTACTCCCATCTGA